ACTTTGGTTTGGGAATCAGCATGTTTGAAGTGTGTACAGGATTCCTTATGCCTGGAGATCCCTTTGCATTCTGGACAGAAAAGAGGAACTTCTTCATAGAACGCTTCTAAAAGCACTGGTTGTTCTCCATTGAGAATGAAGAATTTGTTGGTTTGAGGCTGTGAGATATCCACTTCAACACAGATTCTTGCAATTGAAGGTCTGCCAAAGTTTTCAGTGGTGCTATCAAGTTTGATTGGATTACCAAAGATTCTGGCAATTTGCATCAATGATTCTTTGGCATGGAAGTGAATAGGTAGGTTTTTGATAGAAATCCAAATGGGCATGATAGGGGATTCAACATTGGGATCAAAATTGGGAGTCCATTTCGAGATAAGCATTTTGTAAGCTCCGAGGGACCATTCCCTTCGCTTAAAACAGCGATGGAAATCATCATCGCTGGAGAAGTTTAAGAGAATGTGTGTGGAAACCCTAGATCTAGGGTTTGACGACGAGCTTTCCATAGTCCTTTCCGTAGTATCGGGATGGTATCGCTGGAGAAGTTTAAGAGAATGTGGTTTGGCAGAAAGGGTTTCAACCTCTTCTTTGGAGAAGGAGATGCATGGAAGACCTTTGAACTTATCAACTGATCTATGAGGGAGGTTGATGGTGGTTACCTGGTTAGCTTGTGCAATGGTTGCTGCTGCGTAACTCTTCCCAGGTTTGAGACCTTTGAAGAGGTCAGGTTTGTTAGGATAATAGGCTGCCTGAAGCCGTGGGGCTGAAGATTTTCCATGGAGGGATTGGCTGCTTGAGTTGGGATGAGAGCTAGAGGGAGTGGATGACGGAGGGTGGCCGGAAGCTCCCCCGGAACTGGTCGCTAGCATCAGGAGAGCAAAGGAAGCTTAGAGAGAGAAAAAAAATTATATATATATATATATATGTATGTATGTATGTATGTATGTATGTATGTATGTATGTATGTATGTATGTATGTATGTATGTATGTGTGTATATATATATATATGTATATATATATTGTATGTGTATATATATATATATATATATATATATATATATATATATATATATATATAAAGGAAATAATTTATTAAGATAAGAACAAAGTACAAAGGTGGGGGAAGGCCAAGAATCCCAACAAGTTGGCCAAAGGAAAGGAAGCCCAAAGTGCTCCAAAAGGAAAAACTACAAGGAAAAAAAACAAAGTAAATGGGCAGCCAGAGATACATCCCGAACCCTCAAAACATGAAAGAAAACATGAGCTGTCACCGCCAGTGTACTTTCCTTTCATCAGCAGCTCTATTCAAGTGGTAGAAGCTACTCCACTACTTCAGGTCCTTAATATTTCCCTAGAATAAAGATATGCCCCAAATATCGTGAAAATAATGCCCCCAATCATACGAAACTACTTACCAAAGTAGTATCTTCAAAATGACTTAAGGATGCAATGACCCAATCACATGAAACTACTGACCAAGCTAGATGAATCAACTCTACAAGGAAAGAGACCCATACTTGTGTGATAAAACTAGATGCTTCATATACGAGTTCAAGAAGTCAGGATATAAATCACCCGATGCAACAAGATATCTCCTAATTCAGAACTATCCTAACAAACCTTGTAACATATTTCTTCAAACCATTCAAGGCTAAAATGTCCCCCATTCATTCTTGAACACCACATAGATGATTGAGCACTGCCTGCATATCCTGTTTTGCATAAGCTAAGAAAACCGGATATTTTGCTCCCTGAAATGTAGCAGCATCGATGAATTCAGAACTCTTCATTGATTCTCTAGTGACCATAATGGCTTCCCCTGAAAAGCTTATTATCTCACCCTTATTAAGAGATTCGAAAAATCTTTTGTTTGCAACTGATCTGCGAAAAAGGTTACGGTTATCCCTGATAACTTGATCTATTATCTTCAGGCTTTCCTGGTCAATATGGGGCACTTCATCAGGAATGTGTTTCCTGTGTTCCAGTTCTTTTTCCATCAGAGAGTCAACAAGATGTTTATATCCAGATTCCTTACTCTCTTCTTCTAGCATTCCAGTAGGTAGGCAGTTACTAGAGCATTTCCAACCCTCATCCACTAGCCTAGTTCCTGTCTCAAAATCCTTTGAGCAATCAAGGAAAGGCTCTACACCCACTTGTGAGCCTCAGATGTGCTCAGGAAGCCCAAGTTCTTTCTTTCCTTGGAGTTTTACCACTTCTATTAGAGTGTTGACAAAGAGCTTTATTCCCTCTGAGTTAAAACCCACAGGAATGAAAAGATGCTTGAGGTTCTTCTCGTTTCCTGAAGAGATTTTGACAAAACTCCCAAAGCTGTTTGATTCCCATGAGAATTTTGTTGCTGATTGGTCTTCATATCTTGTAATATTCCACCCTTCCCTTGCTAGAGGAGGGTGATTTAAAGCTTCGATTAACCATACAGCAGTACAAGATGAGATAGTGAGGGAATGACCTTTACCGTTTTTGGACTGTGTAACTGAGATAACATCGGAAACCTGAAAATGAAAGATCTTACTCTCAACTGCAATTCGAAACTCATCTGAATAGCAGGGCAGCAGTTGGTAAGGGTCTTTAAAAGACCGAGGAGTTATCGCCCAATCTTTTTCTCTCCCCCGCGACTGCCTTGCGTAGGTTGACCGATTCCCTCGCTGTAGTTGATTCCAGCCTCTTTTCCTGGATTCCAACAGCTTTGCCCCTTGTGTCGCCACTCTTGCTCGCAGTGATTGCGCCAGTCTTCCGACCTCTTCCATTGTTGATTTCCACAGTCCTGCGGTTGTTTCCAATCGAGTGCCCATCTGGAGACGTGCGGCCATGGTGTTTGCCACTACCGGGAATAGGTGCCCCTTCTCTCTAGAAACCCTAACCCCATCCTTGTTGTTGTTATTATTATTATTATTATTATTATTATTATTATTATTATTATTATTACTACTACTACTACTTATTATTATTATTATTTTTAATGAATCAGAAAAAGTAATTCGAAGATATAGACTCGCCTTACTTACCTGCATCATCTATATGCCCATTTTCATCTATAAAAATTATCAAAAAAGCCTAATTTTTATCCTCTGCATTAGTATAAAATGCTTAATATCATCTCTATCATCATGCCTTATTTTTATTTTTTACTATCTCATCATGTCTCTTTTTTATTTGTTCTTGAACTGTTGAATTTAATCCTTGTGTATAGTACAATATAGTAAACGACATTGTAAAAAGAAGGGAAAGGAAGTGTTATCAGAAAAAAATGAAGAATAGTGAATAAGGCATAGAAGATGAAGAGCTTTCAAACCTTAAGTTAGATGGAGAAGTCTTCTTACAAAGTTTACATTGCAATTGTTAAGGATTTTAAAGATGTATTGGCTTTGTTGGTGTAACACTCCATGGGATATTAACTTATAAATACCTGGTTTAATGAGAGACTTCCATCTAATGCATTAAATGTAAAGTCCTTTAAAGTATTCTCAAATCTAAACATTTAATATAGATAAAAAATAAAGTAATCTCTACATTAAAAGTAGTGAATCCACACCACATCCTCTGCTCACGCTGTTCGAGGTAAATTGACTTGACTTAATTTTTTGAATTAATTGAATAAGATATGGATTAGACATAAGGTTAATAAAGTAGCTTACATGGACCAAGGTGCTTTCCATCATGCCTAAGCCGACATATACGCCTACATTTACACGTTAATTTAGACTATTAAAATGCTACAAGTTTGGCCCATGAATAGCAAACCACTCGGACCAATAAAGGCAGCCCACTCGGCCCAATAAAAATTGGGGGGAACACTGTTCATTTTCGCCTCTTACCGTTGTATATATAGAGATATGACTCTTGTTAGGTTTGGGCCTTGTGGAGAATATTTGCATTTCTACTGGTTCAGGGTTCAAAATGTACGTACGGGAGTCACTGTCCTACTTAAGGGATTCCTTGGTAGGGACTCCAACCAGCCCATTGAGGATTCTCTTTGGGTTTATCCGAGTATCAGCCTCGAGGGATCCTCTCGAGCGTCTGTAGCTGTAGTCTGTTGATTTAAGCCTTAGTGTTGTAGGGATAGAATTAGCCCTTTGAGAATAAATGAATTGGAACTGTTGGATCTTTGTAATTGAAAATAAATGCTGATTATTCACTGATGTTTCTGAATATATAAATGCGATACTATCTATGAAATTAATTCTAGGGTTAGATATTTTCTCACTCAGCACTTGTTGTCTTTGACTGCACGCAGGTAAGGATATGGATCATGAGGGCCAGCCCAGAGGACGTTGATATGTGACACAGTGGATGACGTCACTACACCATTTTAATTATGGACATTTAATTATTGCGTTATTAATTATTTGATTTAAACATTGATAGTAGAACATTATTTTAATGCTTCTGCACATGATGCACTTTATGCCGGACTTTTCGTATTTAATTTTGTGTTTGAATGTTTTTGAATAAACTATCTAAATTGTTGTGCTGTGATTACCAATTTAGTAGTAACCCGATTCGTTAACTCCTTGGTTCAGGTTACGCGAGTTGGGGTGTTACAGCGGGAGATATAGAGGAGATAAGCCTGGAGCCAACTGAACCAGACAAGAAGGTCAAAATAGGCAAGGGTCTAGGAGCTGAACTCCGAGCCCGGGTAATCGCAGTTCTCAGGAGTTTCAGGAAGGTTTTCGCTTGGAGTCCGGCTGACATGCCCGGACTCGACCTTAAAATTGCTGTCCACAGGCTCAATGTCCTTCCTAAAGCTAAATCGGTCAAATTGAAAAGGAGACACCTAGATCAAGAAAGGAGAGAGTTTGTCAAGAAGGAGGTGGCCACGTTGCATAGAATTGGACACATTCAGGAGGTCCAATACCCGGAATGGTTGGCCAATGTAGTCCTGGAACCCAAGCATCCAAGCTGGAGGATGTGTGTTGATTATACGGATCTAAACAAGGCATGTCCGATGGACCCATTCCCACTGCCGAACATAGATCAAATAGTGGATGAGACTGCGAGATGTGAGTTAATGAGTTTCATGGATGCAATCAGTGGGTATCACCATATCCGGATGCACCCCGCAGATGCCGAAAAAATGAGCTTTATGACTCCAGAAGGTTTTTATTATTACATGGTAATGGCTTTTGGTTTAAGGAATTTCGGCGCCACATATACCTGGATGATATCGCAGGTGTTTAGATGAGCCTTAGGCCGGACCATGGAAGCCTATGTAGACGATATGATCGTCAAATCAACGCAAGCCCAAGACCACGTCCGGGACTTGGAGGAGGTGTCTGGGATCATGATGAAGGTGAATTTCCAACTCAACCCCAAAAAGTGGACCTTTGCGGTGCAAGGGGGAAGTTCCTAGGGCATATGGTGAGCCAAAAAGGGATTGAATTAAACCCGGAAAAGGTTAAAGCAATCATGGATATGGAACCTCCGAAGACAACCAAAGAAGTGAAGTGGCTGACCGGGAGGTTGGCGGTCGTGAACAGATTCTTATCCAAGCTGGTAGAAAAGGCTCATCCCTTCTTCAATGCAATCAAGAAGAAGGCAACATTCGAATGGACACAAGAGTGTAAGAAAGCATTTGAGGAGTTAAAGAGATATCTGGCTAATCCCTCCGTGTTGTCCAAACTAGAGTCGGGTGACATTTTGATTCTATACTTAGCCATTTCAGACTGTGCAGTGAGCACAGTTATTATACAAGAAGAGGATGGTGTATAACATGAGTTTATTATGTCAGCAAGACATTGAGGGATGGAGAGTTAAGATATTCACGACCAGAGAAGGCGATGTTGGCTCTATTAGACGACAAAAAGGTTGACCCCATATTTTCAAGCCCACCAGGTGCATGTACTGACGAGTGAACCGTTGGCCTCCCTTTCCCGAAGCCCGGATGATCAAATGGGTCGTTTTCTTGAGCCAAAACAAGATTGAGTTTAAGCTTCGCCCACCGATAAAGGGGAAGGCGCTAGATGATTTCTAGAAGTAGTGCATAGCCAAGGAGCAGACAAGGCGCTTGGAGTTGACCCGGGACAATGGGAAAGGATGGTGGTCGATGTGCATAGATGGTTCTTCACGATCCTGGTCAAGTGGTGCCGGGATTGTATTGGCCACCCCAGAATTCAATCCAACTTCTAACACAATCATATATAACTAAATCATAACTCAATCTATATATATCCAAACTATAATAATGCTCACATTAATACTGAAATAGACAATATAAATAAAATCTAACCTAAACTAGAAAGGAATTGAAGAAAAACATAGATTTGAAGCTTATACCAAAAAACAAACGTTGGACACTCGAATTTGTTTAATTTGGTGTTGAAATTTCTGTTCAATCACCAAAGGAAGTCCTTGTACTCCTTCTAGCTCGCTGCATCACTGCTAGAAACCAAAGGCGGCCGCTACTCCTCTTTAGTGGCGTGCTCGTTCTAGGAATTGTCAGAGAAATTGGCCAGTGTCTAGGGTTCAAGAGCCTAGCCCCGGCGTACGGTTGTTGACGCTCGCCCCCCACGCCCCTGCGTCGTTGTCCTGATCGAACGCACCTGCGTCGGAGTCCTGATCGAAGAAGTAGAAAGACCGAGTCTGTCATCTGTATTCTTTACTCCTCTAATCTATTGTGTACTCCGTATTATTTTGGTGAATGGGTCTTAAAATGGGCTTGGTTTAGGTCTAAGTAATTAGATATAGGTATAGTAGCAATATTAACCAATTGCCACAATAAGTTAAATATTTTGTGGCAAATTCTTAATAGCCACAAATAATTGTGGATTATTTGTATATTGTGGCAAATATTTATTTTGATACTAAAATTTAGCCACAAAAAGTCATATTTTTTGTAGTGGTTGTTTTCAATGGCAAATCAAGGATCCATGTATGAAGAGTGATGAATCTGCTATGGATGGTAATGGTGATGCTGCCATGCCAAAGCCAGGATGCCAAGCAACCAGCAGTGCGAAATACTAAGAGGGATGATGATTTTTTTCCCTCTTCCACAAAGGCAAAGGGTCAAGCTTAAGTCATTGGAGAGAGTAAAACCATGGCTAAAAACCAATCTTTGTGTAATTGGCACTCTTACCTTTAAGATTTGGTCTTTATTCTTTAATTTGAGTAATTTTAGAATATGGAGTTTCATTCTTTGCGTTTTGTTTGTTTTATACTTTGGATTGAAGCAAGCTAATGTACTCTTAGTTTTGTTTTTAATAAATTTTGTGTACTCTTATTTTCATCTCGCCATGTTCTTATTGTTTTTTCGTTTTATGATGTGAGATTGATTGATTGTATGGGTTTCTAATTCCCTTTGTGTGTAGCGGGACAGTACCCTGCGTGTGCATGTCCTTTTTCTTTCGTTTTAATGGAAGTGTTTATTTTTTAATGTCAATATAATTGTTTGAAACAATGTTTATTTGATTGTTGTACATATATTGTCCGAAAGTTTGAAAGTAAAGTTAGAGAGCGTATCCATTTTCATTGTAAAAAAGATTACTGTTACTCTGAACCTTTAAAATAGTTCTAGGCTTAAGAGCAAGACTACTGTTTAGAAAGAGTATTCTTAACTTTTAAAATTGTTTTAGGCTTAATACGCACAATTCTCTTAAAAATAGTTTTCTTTACTTATTATAGATAACCGTGAAAAAAACGGTATGACACACTACTAGTAATACATTACGGTTTCTCAAAACTTTAAAAAGAGTTCTAGGCTTAATAGTCTAACTACTATTTAAAAAGGCTATTCTGAATTTATTATAGACAACTTGTAATAGATTACGGTTTCTATGAATTTTAAAAATAGTTCTACGCTATATAAATATAGTACTGTTACAAGGGAGTCTTATATTCGTATAATAAACATTTATGCAAAACAAAACGATATGAAACATACAACTTACAATAGAATACTATTTCTTATAAGTTTAAAAATAGTTCTAAACTGAAAAATGATACTACTGTTTAGAAATAGTAGTCTTAACTAATTTTTGACAACTATGGCAACAAAAAATGTATTTTTAGATGAAACGGACTACTAATAAAAGATTACCGTTTCTCACAACTTTAAAAAATAGATCTTCCCTTACTTCACAGACTACTATTACAAAAGAATCTTCTATTCTCATTAGAAACAATAGTGGCAAAAAAACCATATGAAATAGACAACTAGCGATAGATAACTGTTTCTAATAAGTTTAAAAACAGTTCTAGACTAAAACACCAGTCTATTGTTTAGAGAGAGTATTCTAAACTTGTTATGGACAACTCTTGTAACAAAAGCTGTATTTTGAACTGACACAGACAATTAGTGATAGATTACCGATTCTCAAAACTTTAAAAACAGTTTTAAAGCAGAATAGCTAGACTACCGTTCTGTTGCCAAGAAAAACTTACAGTAGTATGTTTTTTTCCAACTACTATGTTTCCATTAACAGTAGTTAATCAACAGTTGTCTGATACTGTTTTTGGCGTAGTGTGTTGTGTTCTTGAGTGCTCTTAGTTACTCATTATCCACTCTAAAAGAGAGTATTGTTCTTGAGTGTTTTTAGTGTTCTTGGACACTTGACAAGAGAAAATATTTCTCTTGTTGTTTGAAGGAAGGGTTGTTTCCTTCGAAGGTTCGTTGAGGTTCGTGTGACTCGAACTCTCAAGTTGTACGGGTTTGTTAAGCACCGTTAAGCTTAACGAGATAGTAGTGTAGCTCGAGAGAGTCTCTCGGGAGGCTGGATTAGCCACAAGTTGTGGTGAACCAGGGTAAATTCGGTGTGCCTCTTACTCTTCTCTTTACTTCTCTTTCATTTATTTTTAATTCCTGCGATTTCTTGATCAAACGCTATTCACCCCCCTCTAGCATTGGTCTACTATTCTAACAATTGGTATCGGAGCCAAACTTGCGTCCAAACGTAACCGTTTGAGAGTAAAGCGATCATGGGTTCTTCTTCTATAAATCTTTATGCAGGAATTGGAGAAGGATGGTGCATAGGAGTCATCGTCTTCTTCGTCGTCCTCAACGTCCATGGGATCCTCGTCGACCGCGTCCTCAAAATCGGCCTCGTCGGGGGAGGAGGATGGTGCATAGGAGTTATCCTCCTCGTCCTCGCCTTCATAGTTTTGGCCGAGGAAGGTGCTGTCAAAGGGCGGCGGGACGTAGTTGACGCCGCGAAAGAACGCCGTCATGTCGTGGTGTTGGCGTTGCAGCGTCCAGTCCATCCGCTCGATTGACTGCCCCATGCCATCCACTGTGAGGGTTAGCCGATTCAGAGTATCGGCTATGGACTGTAAGGACGCCTTGGCGGGAGCGGAGGCAGGGGCA